GGGCGTTGTGGTGGGCGCCTGTGGTCCCAGCTACTTGGGAGGCGGAGGCAGGAGACTCGCTTGAGCCCAGGAGTTAGAGGTTGCTGTGAGCTGTAATGCCACGGCACTCCGCCCAGGGGGACAGCTTGAGGCTCTGTCTCAAAAAAAAGAAAGGAAAAAGTGCCTTAAAACTATATTGCTCAATATATACCAATAACATTTATTTTCTTATGTATTTCATCTTGTCTCTCTAGTAACCACAGAAGTCAAATATGACTTAGTATTAAAAAATTTTAATACAGGGGTGGTGCCTGTGGCTCAGTGAGTAGGGTGCCGGCCCCATATACTAAGGGTGGTGGGTTTGAACCCATCCCCGGCCAAACTACAACAACAAAGAAAAAGAATGTTAAAAAATGTTAATATAGTTTTTTCCTTTCTTAAAATGTATATACATATTTGTGGCACCCTCTGTATATATAAATTTATATCTCCTCTCACTGTCCACTGACAGGGCCTAGAAACAATGATACCAAGTATCTATATTTTGGTTTCTAGGTATATTTCCTCACTAAAAGGAACAAGGGCCCTCGGAAAATGGTGGATGCCAGGACTAGGTAAGGAAAGCTCCAGGTAAATGGGAGTACTACACTGTGCTACAAAGCTAGAAGTCCTCAAAAACCAACAAGAACATACAAAAAGGACTTAGAAGCAGCCTGAAGAGACTCCCAATGGCTAAATGGGAGAATCTGTACACCAAAAGGAAAAATGATAGCAACTGATAACATATGAATAAAGCAAAAATCCACAAGTCTGTAGTGACAGTAAAATAAAAGGAACGAAAGTTCTTCTTTAACATGTCTACCAGGACTGGCAGAAGTAGAACAACACCCGTTTGCAACCACGAGTGTGATTATTTGATGAGACAAGGATCATCCACGGGTGCTGATGCCACTGTGGAAAACTGAAGGACAAGAGGACATTCTGTATGCCTGAAAGATTGTTCCCAAAATGAGAGGCATTCAGCAGATACCATCTTAACACATTACTGACCAGTCACAAAGTTACCCAGTAACATGAATAGTTTCTGCATAAAATTACTGTTCAACAATGTGTTAACATAGCAGAGCTGTTCTCTGATTCATTTCTCCAAGTTTCAATTCCCAGTTATCCTAAATTTAGCCTATTTTATTCTTTCTCCCCTCCTCATCTTTTAGCTGCTTATATTACAGGATCACTTAGCACTTCTAACATCTTTTTTTTTTTGAGATAAGAGTCTTACTTTATTGCCCTGGGTAGAGTGCTGTGTTGTCATAGCTCACAGCAACCTCAAGCTCTTGGGCTTAAGCGATTCTCTTGATTCTGCCTCCCAAGTAGATGGGACAACAGGCACCCACCACTAAGCCCGACTTGCACCTCTAACGTCTTAACCAAATCATCAATCTCACCATCCCCAGGGAGGGATCTACTGAATCAGGTCACCTGTGTGGCATTCTTGCCAGAATGTTCACTATGAATCTCATCAGGAGGAAACAACCACCAGTCAAATCCAGATTGTGGGCATTCTGCAAGGCAACCCATGGCCCAGAGTGTTCCAATGTGTCAATGTAAAGAAAGATTAAAAAAAGGTGGGGAGATGTCTGAAGAACAATGGAAATACTACAAATATAAGTTTCACTACAGTCACCTTCACAGTACTCTCTTTAGCCATCTGGTGACTGCAGTGATATTCAGCAATGAGGCATGGAACACTTTCCTAGGATTCACAAACTTAATTGTCAGGCCTCATACAACAACAGCTCTGATGGCCATTTCAGAAAGAGTTCCAAAACTGCTTTGAAGGGTGCATGAGGCACCAGCATTGGTGCACAGCTTCCCAGGGGAGCACTTCAAAGGTGACCAACCATACTGATATTCAGCAATAAGGTATGGAGCACTTTTTCTTTCTTTTTTTATTGAGGCAGAGTCGCACTATGTCGCTCTGGGTAGAGTGTCATGGCATCACAGCTCACAGCAACCTCCAACTCTTGGGCTCAAGTGATTCTCTTGTCTCAGCCTCCCTAGTAGCTGAGACTACAGACACCTGCCACAACGCCTGGCTGTTTTTGTTTGTTTGTTTGTTTGTTTGTTTGTTTAGCAGGCCTGGGCTGGGTTCAAACCCACCAGCCCTGGCCTAACCACAGGTGCCCAGCCTAGAGCACTTTTTCTAAGATGAGTTTGCAAACTGAATTGTCTGACCTCATATATGTAGATTTTTTTTTAAATAGGGAAAAGATATCACTCTGTGAATTTACAGGCAAACTGATGTATCTGGGATTTGCTTTAAAACCACCAGGGGAAGCAAAGTTAAGGATCAAGGTGGTGGCCCACACCTGTAGTCTTAGTTATTGGGGTGGCTCACGCAGAAGGCTTACATGAGCCCAGGAGTTTGAAAACAGCTTGGAAACATAGCAAGACCCTGTCTCAAAATAAAACAAGAAAAAAGACTAGTCATTTATTAATGAATATTAAAGCTGAGTATAGGTAGGTATGAGGAAGTGCACTATACTATCCTCTTACACTATTCTCTTTTTGTAGAGTCTGAGCTCGCCGTAATAAAACCAATTTTAAATGAGGTACTGATATTCATCTTAATTACTCTAGTTTTCCTAAAAAATCATTGAGTATAGTAATCCTGTACTTAATTTTTCACATGTAGCGAACTGACCTGCATTACTTGCATTTTTAGCAGCTTCCACGGAATCTGAAGGAACCCCATCTGAAAAACTGAAACAGTTATGTTTAAAAATATTATTTCAAAGAATGTTCTAAAGATAAATGGCACAAACGTACATTTTTCTTTTTTTTTTTTTTAAACATATTAAAAGGTATCTCTACAGTGACCTCAGATCTGGGCGGAAGAGAACTGCTGCAATGCCTACCTATTAACAAAGAGATGCTTCACTGTTATTAAAATAATATTCTACCACTTCACACCTTCTTACTCCACATGCCACCCCACACAGTTCTAATTTTCAACCCTCATCAAAGCTTTTCTATAGCTTTCATTTCTACAGTTTATTTCCTCAAAAATTCTCTCTGGCCTTCAAAACAAACCACCCGCCTGCCCACCATTATTTGATCAGTTGTTCATGTCATCAAAGCAAAGCAATCTTACCCAATAAGACAGTGCCCCAAATGGCTCTGTAAAGCTAGCTATGCAAAGTCTCTAAAAACAACGAGACTTCAATAGGTCTAACAGTTTTCAAAGCGGCCCGGAAACACCTCCCTCGTCAAAAATAAATATAACCAAAAATGTCTATCAAATAATTCACAAAGCAAAGTCTTTCACTTGACTGCTGATGGCTACAGAACATTAGGCTGATATAAAAGTCAATAACACAGCTTCACCCCAAGAGTATTAAAACCTGAGGAAGAAAATGATGACCTTCTGTAAAAATGTTTGTAAATATCAACATGAGACACTGTTCATGTCTGAAACAATTTTTTTGTAGGCTAAACACACACATCCCACCAGCCAGAGCCTGAATACATCTTATCCAGTGACATTACAGGGAATGGCTAGTGCTCACCAACTCTATTTTAATAAACAAAGTCTATTTTGGCTTACCTGTTATCTGCCATCTGAACGTTTTATCCCCTACAAATTAAAAAGAATTGTAATAATTATATTCACAAACAAAATCATTTGTTCAAATGTAATCTCTAACAGGGACTGTCTATGGTAGGTAGATTTACCTGAAAGGGGAGGAACTTTCTGGAGTTATAAAAATGTTCTAGTCTTGACTGAGATTACCTGGGTGTATATATTTATCAAAACTCATTACCATATACTCAGGATCTGTGCATTCATTACATTCATATTTTACTCATAAAAATTATTCTTAGTGCTAACATAACAATGACAACTACTACAATAAGCAAAAATAGCCTGGCGTTGTCGAGGGCACCTGTAGTCCCAGCTACTGGGAGGCGGAGACAAGACAATCGCTTAAGTCTAAGATTTGGAGGCTGCTATGAGCCATGATGCCACAATACCCTACCAAGGGCAACATAGTGAGACTCTGGCTCAGAAAAAAAAAAGAAAAGAAAAAAAGAAATTATTCTTAGTAGCATTAAAATGACCAGACTTCAGAATAACATCAATTCTGCCCTATCTCTACGATAAAATTAGCGATAAGAACCCATAATAATGCTACCCTGCCATACAGCTATTATAGTCAAACCTGCATTTGGGGCTCCAGAGACTTTTGACCTTTCTCGGCCAGCTACTTTACTTCTTACTGCTTCTCCCTGCTCAGTTAAAGATTCTGTTGCTAGTGTCGGGACAGATGATAAGCAACAGCTCAGTCAGGGTCACAACCCTGCCTCCTTGCAGCAGCATGCCCGCCAAAATTCATGCATCTAGAAATGAAGTGTGAAAACACTCCCTCCCTACCCAGTTCACTACAACCCAGAGACTGGCTCAGCAAGTATCTGTTGAATGCACAAAGAGGTTCACCTTTTAACAGCATGACACCTATTCTAACTTAACAGAATCCACTCATGCAATGAGTCATTTAATTTTCATTTATGTGAAGGCATGTGCTGTTCAATACTATTTTTGGTAACATAAGATAGTTAAGTCAAATCCAACACAAAATATTCCTAAGGAGGCCAGATGCTCCTTCATGTTTACATGGATGGAGCTGGAAAATGTTCTTAGCAAAGTATCACAAGAATGGAAGAAAAAGTATCCAATGTACACAGCCCTATTATAAAACTAATTTATAGTTCTCAAATGAAAACTACGACCGAATTCTAGCCCAAGAGTATGGGGAGGGGTTGGGGGAAGGGAGGGGAGAAGGGCGGATGGGTGGAGGGAGGGTGATTGGAAAGATCACCTATATGGTCTGTCTAACAAGGGTACAAGTGAATTTTTCTAGAACTAGAGTATAAATATTTTAACACAATAACTAAGAATATGACACAAAGTCTATGTTAACCAGTTTGATGAAAATATTTCAAACTGTATATGAAAACACTACACTGTACCCCATGTTTGCATTAATGTACACAGCTATCATTTAATAAAAAAAAAAAAAAAAAAAAAAAAAAGAGGCCAGATGCAGTGGCTTGCACTTATAATCCCAGCCCTTTGGGAGGCCAAGGCAAGAGGATGTGGAAACCAGGAATTTGAGACTAGCTTTGATAACACAGTGTGACTCTGCCTCTACTAAAACAAGTTTTTTTGTTTTTTGAGGCAGTCTTATTATGTCACCTTTAGTAGAGTGCCAGGGCATCACAGCTCACAGCTCACAGCAACCTCAAACTCTGTGGCTTAAGTGATTCTTTTACCTCAGCCTCCCAACTAGCTGGACTACAGGGACCCACCACTATGCCCGGCTATTTTTTGTTGTTGTTGAGCAGGCCCCGGCCGGGTTAGAACCCACCAGCCCCAGTGCACATGGCTGGCGCCCTAACCACTGAGCAATGGGCATTGATCCTACAAAAACAACTTTTTAAAAATTAGCCAGGCATGGTGGCATGAGCCTGTGGTCCAGCTGCTCAGGAAGCTGAGATACGGGGAATCACTTGAACCCAGGAGTTCTAAGTTGCAGTAAGTAAGCTGTGACTGCACCACTGCACACCAGCCTGGGCTAAAGAAACAGACACTGTCTCAAGAAAAGAAAAGGAAAATGGAAAAAAAAAAAAAGTGCTAAATCAACAATAAGAGAAAAACAAAATAATGGATTTGAACAATGGCACCCTCTGTACGTATACACACACACATACACACAGTCATATACCGTGTTTCCCCAAAAATAAGATACTGTCTTATATTCATTTTTTCTTAAGACACACTAGGGCTTATTTTCAGAAGATGTCTTATTTTTTTGTTTTATTTTAATTTTTTTTCAGCTTTTGGCCAGGGCTGGGTTTGAACCCACCACCTCTGGCATACGAGACCGGCACCTTACTCCTTTGAGCCACAGGTGCTGCCTGGATGTCTTATTTTTATTAAGTATAATACAACAATCTACATTTATTCAAATACAGTTAAGTCATCTTCTTCTGGAACCTGACAGGGGGAGCTGACCTTGTTGGTGGGGCTGGCACTACTGATGTGTGAACTCCTTTCTCCTAGCTGTTCGCTCGCGGTTACCACATGCACACCCGCACAAGTGCGAACTGGCTCAGAGAAAGGAGCTGTGGCAGATAAAAGGTATTCTCAGCTCGGCGCCTGTGGCTCAAGTGGCTAAGGTGCCAGCCATATACCCCTAATGTGGCCGGTTCGAATGCATCCCAGGGCCCCCCAACCACCATTGATGGTTTCACCCAATAAATAGCCGGGCGTTGTGGCGGGCGCCTGTAGTCCTAACTACTTGGGAGGTGGAGGCAGGAGACTTGCTTGACCCCAGGAGTTGGAAGTTGCTGTGAGCCGTGATGCCACAGCATTCTACCCAGGGCAATAGCCTGAGGCTCTGTCTCAGAAAAAAAAAAAAAAGGTATTCCCAGTCTTCCTTACCACTCCGTGCCAAAATGCATGGTGTGGCTATGCAGATATGCTGCATAGCCACACCCATTACTAGGTCTTATTATCGGGGTAGGGCTTATATTTAACAAATGCATAGAAATCCTGCTAGAACTTATTTTTTGGGTAGGTCTTACTTTTTTTTTTTTTTTGAGACGGAGCCTCAAGCTATCCCCCTGGGTAGAGTGCCATGGCATCACGCTCACCGTAACCTCCAACTCCTGGGCTCAAGCGAGTCTCCTGCCTCTGCCTCCCAAGTAGCTGGGACTACAGGCGCCCGCCACAACGCCCGGCCATTTTTTGGTTGCAGCCATCATTGTTGTTTGGCGGGCCCAGGCTGGGGATTCGAACCCGCCACCTTAGGTGTATGTGGCTGGCACCTTAGCCGCTTGAGCCACAGGCGCCAAGCCGGGTAGGTCTTATTTTCAGGGAAACATGGTGCCTGCAACTCCTCAATCTTATTTAAAAAACTAGAAATATCAGCCTGAGCAATATAGTGAGGCCCCCATCCCTACGAAAAATTTAAAATTAGCAGGATGTAGTGGTGTGCGCCTGTAGTCCCAGCTACTTGGAAAAGTGAACCAGGAGGATCACTGGAGCCCAAGAATTGGAGGTTACAGTGAACTATGATGATGCCAATGTACTATAACCCTGGTGACAGAGTGAGACCCCATCTCCAAAAATAGAAAGAAAAAGAGAAGAAATTACAAATAAACAGAATTTACTATATTGGTCAGGCTGGTCTTGAACTCCTGGCCTCAATCGATCCTCCTGCTTTGGCCTCCCAAAGTGCTAGGATTACAGTGTGAGCCACTGTATATAGCTTGGTTCTCTCCCTGAGACTGTGTGCCCTGCTGCAGAGAAAGGTGCTGGAATTCTCTGTGTGTGTGTCACAATTCACACACCTCTCTTCGGGGAGTACTTATAACTATCCTGGAGGCAAGAAAAATCATCTCCATTTTACAGATGAAGAAACCAAAGAATCAGTCGCTCCTGCTCCCTATCGTGTGTCCTTCACCAACCTCGACAGATACACGTCTCAGAAGACTGTGACACTTCTCTGGTTTGACCAAGGACTTGGTCAAAAAAAAAAAAAAAAAAAACTCTGAAGGACATGGGATGGAAGCATTTTTTTTTTTTTTTTGAGACAGAGTCTCAAGCTGTCACCCTGGGTGGAGTACTACAGTATCATCATAGCTCACAGCAACCTCCAATTCTTGGGCTCAAACGATTCTCTTGCCTCAGTTCTTTTTATTTTTAGTACAGATGGGGGTCTCACTCTTGCTCAAGCTGGTCTCAAACCCATAACCTCAAGCAATCCACCTGCCTCGGCCTCCCAGAATAATAGGATTACAGGCGTGAGCCACTATACCTGACCCGGAGGCACACTTTTTTTTTTTTTTTTTTTTTT